CCAGTCTTCTTCTGGAGCTGCTGGCATTGTCCCCACCAGCAGGTCCTGCATGCACAGGCAGTGCTGCTCCTCAGGGCCATGCAGGGTCCCCTCTCAGCAGTTCTGATCCCGGGAAGCACTGCTGGAGCAGCACAAACCTGCCAGACACATGAATAATTCACCAGCTCCACCGAGGAACTGCCTGTGCCATCGCCATAGTAATAAATGCAGCAGCACCCTTACTGCAGCAGATTATATATAAGAATTCCAAATCTCTTTAGAAGATTAAATCTTGTGGAGGTACCAGAGGAACACTGATTAATGAACATTCTGGAAAAGAGAGCGTGGGAGTGGGGGTGTTCCTTTCACATGGAACCTCCTCCACTGGCCAGGCCCTGACACCTCCAAGGAAAAGCAAAAACAAATGCTCTCCTGTGACTGTCCAGACAGTGGAAATGATGTTAAATCACACACAGATAACCCTTCCCYGGCTATCACTGAGTTTTCCCTTCTCCACCCCCAGGCCCACCTCACTCCAATTCCCAAGAGGGACCCCAGCTATTGCTTTGGACAGCACAGACCACACTGTCCTCAGAAACAAAAGCACATTATGAGAGCACGACAGGGAATGACTTATCCCATCTCAAGGCATAAGAACTTGCTAAGAAATCACTCCTAATGATTATTTTCCACTTCATTTTCTTGATCCACRTTTGCCAGACAGCGAGCCAATTCCAAGACACACATTTGAAATAGTTCAGTGGCTGCCTGAACCAAAAGTATTTCAGTAGCAGGGTGTGAAAAGWGAAATCTGTTTAAAATAAACCCTGGCTGCTTTGCTGTGCAGAAGGCAGCCCTGAGAGCAGCTGCAGTGATGGTGACATTGCTCAGCACACCCAGGAGCACTGACASACTCTGTGACCCTGCCCCTGGCCTGGCCTGGATAATCTTCTTTACCTAACACAGGATAAATGCAGCATTACTGGGGTGTTCCTAGGGTTTGTGGTTTTATCCTTTAGTCACTCATCCCCTGTGTGTCCAGAGAAGGGCAGTGGAGCTGGGGAGGGCCTGGGCCCCCAGGAGCACTGAGGGAGCCAGGGAGGCTCAGCCTGGAGCAGAGGAGGCTCAGCAGGGACCTGGGAGGTGTGGAGGAGAGGAATTCTGTGTGTCCTTGCTGCACCCCACATCCTGCAGCATCCCAAACAGCCCCAGCACACTGACAGCCAGCACTGGGGCTGGAAAATGCACAGGGACAGCAATGGGAACCACCTTGGAGTGCACGGCACTGCCCCAACTGCAGCTGTGCTGCTCTACTGCACTTTGCAGAGGATGCTCCAGTGCAAACAAGAGCTGGAGCAGCATTTCACAGGACCATGTTCCTCATATCCAGTAAAATGCTGTGACTCAGTGTGGCAGGGTTGGAGGACACAGCCCAGCTTCAGCCAGCATGGCCAGAGCTGTCACCAACCATCAGCAGGACAGGCTGTCTCTCCTCCGAGCTCTGCACTGCAAAATGAAAATTCCAAGCAGAAGTCTGACTGTACACGCCACACTCACACTGAACTGCCACCAATCCCTGCCCCTCTGTCTGCAGTGCCACCTCCCTGTCACCCTGGCTGTCCAGGGATCCATACTGCCCTCACTCCCAGCATCTCCACAAGAGCCTGCCTTGCTTCATCCTTGGTTAAATCCTGTTCCAGACCTGTTCCAGACCCGAGGGTGTCACAGCAGGCACAGACACTGCCCAGCTTCAGGCAGTGTCCCCTTCCACAGCCCCAATGCAGCTCCTCACCTGAACCATCACCAGAACCTCCACCCGTGCAGCAGCCTCAGCCCAACCCCACTGCCCCATCCCTGCAGAATGCAGCTGTACCCCAGTGTGCACACCAATTTAGAGCAAACACAAACACATTCAGGCATTTGACTTCCTATTATAATGTGAGCACCATACATTGAATCCTGCTTTTCCTGTTTTTTCTACTATCATCAGAGCCCTGGCAGCTGGTGCCAGCTCAGCTGCTCTGCAGAGCTCACACCTCAGTGTCTGTCAGCCCCAGGCAGCACCTACCCCRCACACTCGGCTTCTATTCCTGCAGCAGCAATGTGGAATGAGGCATTGAGAAGGAAAAATAACAGAGAGGCAGCAGAGCAGAACCTGACACACTGAAGCACTGAAGGGAACCTCGAGAAGTGTTTGAACYCAAAGAGGAAGCGTGTGCGAGTGGCTGATCACTGCCCACAGCCTCAGACTGCCTGGGGGATTCCAAGCTTATGAATAAAGGAGCTCTTTTCCAAGGATGAGAGGGTACTGCCACTTCCTGGGCATTTCTCCACTTGGCATCAGGAGCAGAGGAGCCCCAGGCAGAGAGAAGCCTTTGGTGCTGACAGAGCCAACTYCTGCCCCACAGCTCGGGGATCCCGGGCCACGGGAGGGCTGGGGACACAGACATGGCTGGAGTCACATCCAAGGGGAGCCCAGCACCTCCCTGCTGCACCTTCAGAGCCTCAGCCCCCTGCGAGGGGCACCAGCACTGGCAGCACCCTGCAGGCACAGCCCGGGGTCCCCAGGGTGACACCAGCACTGCCAGCACCCTGCAGGCACAGCCCGGGGTCCCCAGGGTGGCACCAGGGTGGCACCAGGGTGGCACCAGCACTGCCAGCACCCTGCAGGCACAGCCCAGGGTCCCCAGGTCCCCAGGGTGACACCAGCACTGCCAGCACCCTGCAGGCACAGTTCAGGGTCCCCATGGTGGCACCAGCACTGCCAGCACCCTGCAGACACAGCCCGGGGTCCCCAGGGTGGCACCAGGGTGACACCAGCACCCTGCAGGCACAGCTCAGGGTCCCCAGGGTGGCACCAGGGTGACACCAGGGTGGCACCAGCACCCTGCAGGCACAGCCCAGGGTCCCCAGGGTGGCACCAGCACCCTGCAGGCACAGCCCGGGGTCCCCAGGGTGGCACCAGGGTGACACCAGCACCCTGCAGGCACAGCCCATGTCCCCAGGGTGCCATGGGGCCACTGATGGGCAGTAACACAATTCAAACGCTCCGTGTTTGACTTGAAAACATTCTATTTAATTTATACAAATAACTACTAAATAGAAAAAGTAGATTAAAACAAAATAGTTATTTTTCTGGCAGAGTTTAAATGCATATTATATAGCTTAGAAGAAATAAAATGCATTTTCCCCACAGCATTCATGACCTAAAATTCTAGTTAACTCCTCCACTGCTTTCGTTTCCCAGATCAGTAAGATGCCAGATGCAAGGTCCTGTGGGAAATGGCTATAGATACGTTCCATATTCCAACTGAAAAATGGTACAGACCACACACCTACAAATGTGAAGCACTTAAAATGTGACTATCAAGTTGTAACATGATCATACAGAAAACAATTCATGTTTCAGGTTATATTGTGTTACAAAAACATCTGTGTAAGAAATCATGAAAGAGGCCACATAAAAATAAGCTTTAACTTTATGCACTTATTTTACAGTTTAAAAAACTGGCAAGTGCACTAGTAATAAATAATTTGCAAGTTTTGGATAAATGAGAAATTCCTAATGTTCAGCATTATTGTAAACATCAGTACACATGTAAAATGCAGCTAAAGTCTGACAGTTATATTTTCAGTTTACCAAATTCTTTTCCTATTACTCAGGCATAGATCAATGCAGRATACAGCCAATCATATTTTTGGCAAGTCATGTCATTAAAATTAACAGTGACAGTGCAAGTAAGGAATGCAAAGAATTCCTAGTGCAATAAAGAAGAGAAGCACAGGCAATATTGCTGATTAAAATTTACCACTTCCATGTGTTCACCCTGGGAGTGATTAGGAGAATTAAAATAAAACTTCAAAAAAAAAGAAAAAAAAAGAAAAGAAAAAAAAATAAAAAGGGGGGGGGGGAAAAGAAAGAAAAGAAAAAGCTGTTCAAAGCCATTGTTTAATGCCCTGATCTTGTCTTAGGATTTCTCTGTCTTCCTTCAGGCCACGAGCTCACCCCAGCAGATGCAGCTGAGTCCTCAGTGCCACCCAGGCTGGGCTGAGCTGTCCCCATGTCCCGGGGTCCCCTGGCTGCTCCCCAGAGCTCCCAGAGGGGACCAGGGCTCTGCCCAGCGCCTCTGTCACACAGCACCATCACCAGAGGGTCAACAGTCAGCCTTCAGTTTGTCCAAGGAATTGTCAATTTTGGTCAGAGTCTTTTTGATGCGCAGGGCTGTCAGTCTGGCCGAGGGGTTCTGGTACCAGCACTCCTTCATCAGCTTGGCAAGGGATGTCAACGTCTGGGGAGAACAGAAACCACAGCACAGGTCAGTGCACAAGGAGCAAGGTGAGAGAGCACTGCTGGGATCACACTCACACACACGGGGTCATTGTCACTCAACACTCCATGGCACAGTTCCCTGCTCTCTATTTAACAGAGCTTTCACACATTGAGAACCTCCTGAAGTCTGCTAACTTGACTAAACCAAGAGTACAACTAGCCCATGGGCTGACTGCAGTGACCAGCTAGTGCAACTTTAAACAACAGAGTTTTGGAGCACTCGTTTTCYATTTAAGCAAACACTACACAGAATTTCTCTCTCTTCAAGGAAATAAACTCTACAAACCCAYGCAGGCAGCTGAGAAGGCACAGAAGTTGTGCCTGTGATTTCACCCACCCAGCACACGTTTAACTGSCTGGGCACCCAGCACAGGGCACAGCTCCACATGCAAACCTCAGATATGGCTCTGCCCTGCTCAGCCCTACAGATTTCAAACTGCCCCTAGAGCTTTGTGGGACAAAACAGCTGGGCAGCCTGGGGGGGACAGACTGATACTGATGAAGAAAAATAAACTTGAGCATCAGTCTTTCAAAAAGAAACAGCCCCTTATCCTGCAGGCAGCAGAGACCAGCATTCTGTTGTGTGTTTGTAAACCATGGAAAGCCCTGGACAAGTGTCCGTCCCCTTCACTTCCCCTTGGAGGGAGAAGAACCACCCAGGAAAAGCAGCTCTAAGAGTTTCTGCTAAATCATGCTCCTAAAAGGCCAATCTGTGACCAGCTGAAACCTGGCAGCTGTCAGCTTGTTCAGTGCTCCCCAAGGCCAGGCTCACACCTCCAACACCTGCACAGGTGACACTGCTGCCAAGGCCACTAAGATCCTCTCCATGACAAGTGACAATGAAAGAACTTCCATGAGCATGACAAGGACAGGCCAGCAGCATCTGCTGCAGCCCCCAGCAGCACACTGACCGGGTCTGAGAACCATCTGTTGGGAATGTTGGGCCTCTGCTGATCCACACAGACCACTTTCCTCATGTCTTCAAAGCTGGGGTCGTTCGGCACCAAGTCATAGAAGGGTGGTTTGTAATCTTCCACAATACCTGGGGAGACACAGGGCAAATTACAAATTACATATGCTGTGTAAAGCAGCATCACCCACCCTCCCTCAGAGCAATYCCCACTTGCATTTACCAACCACACCTGCTGGGCACAATTCCCACCTGACCCCTCTCCTGCTCAGCCCAGAACCCATTTTAGTGTGAGACCTCAGGAACACAACCCACTGTGTGTCCTCCCTGTCACAGCCATCCCCAGCAAAGCCAACAGCCAGCTCCAGTGTCACACAGCCTGAACACACTGCCAGGGCCAGGAGAACACTACAGATGAACTTTATCCCTGCACAGAGCCTCTGGCTCCAATTCCCCCTTTTTCATGGGTCTTTCCCAAGCCCAGGGCACGTGTTGGACCAAAGACAAAGGCAGAGCCTGGCCTTTCCTCCAGCAGCAGCCATGAGGGCTCTGAGCTGGGCCATGGGGGCCCTCGGGGTGCAGGGAGCCCCTCAAGCTCTGTCCCAGAGCTGTGCCCACAGTGTCACCAATGTGTGACACACCTCACCCAGAGCTGTACCTGCACAGTGTCACCAATGTGTGACACACTGCCCTCACCTCACCCAGAGCTATGCCCACAGTGTCACCGATGTGTGACACACTGCCCTCACCTCACCCAGATTTTGGTGACAGTGATTTTGGTGACAGTGATTTTGGTGACAGTGATTTTGGTGGTGACAGTGATTTTGGTGGTGGCAGTGATTTTGGTGGTGGCAGTGATTTTGGTGGCAGGTGATTTTGGTGGTGGCAGTGATTTTGGTGGTGGCAGTGATTTTGGTGGCAGGTGATTTTGGTGGCAGGTGATTTTGGTGGTGGCAGTGATTTTGGTGGCAGGTGATTTCTTTGCCATGGATTTACACTCCCCCTCCTCTCCTGAGCCCAGAGCAGCAGCGATTTTGGTGGTGGCAGTGATTTTGGTGGTGGCAGTGATTTGCCATGGATTTACACTCCCTCCCCTCTCCTGAGCCCAGAGCAGCAGTGATTTTGGTGGCAGGTGACTTTGGTGGCAGTGCTTTGCCGTGGATTTGCACTCCCTCCCCTCTCCTGAGCCCAGAGCAGCAGTCCCAGCACTCACTCACCATTGCTGACCATACGCCTGGCCACCTCCCACAGGACCAGCCCAAARGCCCAGATGTCCACACGTTTGTAGGAGTCGAAGCAGTCTGCCTGGATGGTTTCATCCAAAACCTCGGGAGCCATGTAGCGCTTGGTGCCCACTCGGGGATTGTTCCCCACATCCAGCTGGTTTGTGCTTTGGGAATGCATCACAGCAAGGCCTGAAGGACACAAAAAAGACATCACTGCTGAGTCCCCTTCAATGTGGCAGCACACCCTTCAAGGGCCCCACAGCAGAACCCTCAGATGGTTTATGAGAGAGGAGCAGAGGGTCCAACTGTCCAAAGGCCAAGGGGTCAGCTCCAAACTCGCCTGAGGCTTCAGACTGCTCTATTATCACCCCAGGGATCACCATTAAGCATTTTATTGCATTTTATTGCATTTTATTGCACTCTTGCAAAACATCATCATCAAGTGTTTTGCAGCCACTGGATGTCCCCAGAGCTCTGGGCACAGATACACAGAGGCCAAACAGCTGCTGCTCAGAAGAAAACAATTTTACATGGCATTCAAATTTATTTATAGACCTTTTGGGTAGGTGGATACACCCGAACTATGGGGGAAGAGAGAAGAAAAACACTGCACGAAGGATACACACAAGTTAAAAAAACAAAGCTGGAAAATAAAAAACACCATATTTGCAGCAGCTTGAAAAATAAACATCCTCAAGCAGATCTAAAATGAGTCAGACAAAACCACTCTACCTGGTTTCTACTAATTACTAAACATTTAAGCAGAGAACATTATGTGAGGGACTAAATTACTGTAAATTTGGAAACACASAGAGCACTCATTTGGCCATGGTAAACAGAGAGCACTGCAAATTGAGCAGCAGTGGGTGCATGGCAGAGCCAAGCGACAGAGAGGGCGACGCAAACTCTCCCTAATTTCCTCAACAAATCTTCTAAGAATGACATCTACTATTTACATTTAACAGGAGTTTATTTTAGGTGAACCCTAAAAGGCTTTTTACTTCCATCCCACAAAAGTTAACCCATCACCAGATCATTAATTTTCTTTCCAAAGAACAGTCTGTACTTTAATGTAACAAAAATCTGGAAAACACTTTTCTACAATCYAAATGCACTTCAAGATATCCCAGGCTGATAAGAAAATGCTTATGGCACCTCTAGAAAGATCAAAGAACCACAGAATGGTTTGGATTGGAAGGGACCTTAAAGTTCATGCAGTTCCACTGGTGCCATGGCAGGGACACCTCCCACTGTCCCACTGTCCCCAATGTCCAGCCTGGCCTTGGACAATTCAGGGATCCAGGGGCACCACAGCTGCTCTGGGCACCCTGTGCCAGGGCCTCCCACCCTCATTGTAAAACAYTTCTTATATTTAATCTAAACTGACCCTTTTTCCATTTCAAACCATCATCCCTTGGCCTGTTACAACAAGCCTTTCTTAGGGACACCACACCTTATGTACCATCTCCTGAGCCCAGACTGAGGAGAAACCTGCTACCAGATCCAAGTATTTCTGTCAAATATTGACACCCACACTTACACATTTATGTACTGATTTAAATCTAATATTAGATTATATTAAACAATATGTACGGATTTTCATTTTTTTTAAAAGCTTCCAACTGCAAAGGTTAGAAACCACATTTCCTGGCAAACATCAAGAACTCAGAGAACACTTTGATTAAAACCATAACCCTTCATTCAAACTGGGCACAACAGATTGCACAGGCTGACAGGTCAAAGGTTTACAGCTGAGGGAGGCAGGTATGAACTAAAAATTAACTCCTCAGTGCGAACTAAAAATTATTTAAAAGCCACTCTCTGAAGCTTTGTATTTTCAACTTACTGCACCATTTGTTACTATTCCCACAGCAAATTTCCAGAGGCCCAGGTACATGGTTTTTATGTTTTCCCTGTGCGTATCTCAAGTCCCTCAGGCACAAGTGACAGAAACTGTGCAGTAGAATTAYTATTAAAAAATGCCATCTCCTGATAGGCTTTTTGCTTAAGCAATGGCACCCAAATACTGTTCTACCACTGCTTTCGCTCTTGTCTTCAGAGAAAAGACAAAACAATGATTGTCAGACATCCCTCCAAGGTGTGAGAGAGCCACATTGCTGTGCCTGCTCTTCAGGGCCAGCTCTCACT